AATAAGCACCAACCACAAATTCAGCATTGATTTCTAGTTGGGTGATATTTAGTCTATCTCATATCTTTAGGCTTTCTTTTCGTTGAAGCTACGACGAGGCTACGACATCAACGCTTCACAAAGCAAACGTGTTTAATCCCTTTAATCAGGAGGTTGAAAGAGAAACACTATTAGCATGAAAAGTCATTTTGCTCTGGTGGCTCATCAACACGATGTCATTTCAATTCATTTAATGTTTCATATAAAGTCCCATAAATATGGAAATGTATCGGCTGTGTTGCGCCAACGAGAAGCTTTCAGGACATTGCAAAAATCAGAAATGACTTCTGCAACATGCATGTAGCACAAAGAGCTTCAGCTTCGACCGCTCTGACGGCAGAACTCGCTCTTTGTCCTTCCACTATTAGATGTATACGACCGTCTGCCGTCCTGTCTCCACAAAATCACATTCCTATACAGCCAAACTGCATTCTCAATTAGGTTTAAAGGGGAAACTAATTCAGTTTGGAAAGCAACGTAGTTTGTGAGCTCATGGAACAGACAGCGAGTTTGAAAGAATCACAAAATCCACATTAGGAGGTAAAGAGAGAGGATGGAGGCATAAATCAGAGACTGGACGTCCACCCAGAAGGACGAGAGACACTCAGTCTTCATTTCCTGGTTAAAGCTAGTCACCAAACCCACGTGGTTATGTGGAGGAAAATATCACGCTTTGATTGACACGTGGTAAAAACAGGCCCTAGCTTTGTAAAATTAGAAAAGAATGTCATGGTTGGGTTAAAATATGACCTTTTCACTAAATGTTTGAAGTTTCTCCTCCATTTTCTTGACGTTATGCATTAAGTTATGATCAAATATACCTCAGAGAAAATACATTCCCCTCAAAATGAGCTTAGTTGCACAGGAATGTAGTTTTGTGTGGACTGGGTTGGACCGTGTTTAGTTCTTCTCTGCAGTTAGTTTAGTGGTTTAGAGTCCAGAACAGCAACAACAAGGTTCATTCAACGTCTCCTAATAGTCGGTGAAAAAAAGTCAGTCCTAAATTGTCTCTGAAAGTCTTTACAGTCATGTTTAGGATATACTTTAACTAGAAATAGCTCTCTGGCTTGATGCTTGACTGTTGGTTGGAAAAGGCAAACAAGCCAGGCTCCTGTGTGTTGACGTCTGATGTTTCATTGACCCCTCCGAGCACCCTGACCTCCTCCCTACCAGGACTCCTCTCCCTCTATGATAACGTCCTGGAGCTGCTGGAGGGTTTGTCTCTTCAGCGCTGTGCACACGAGTGACGCTGATGTTGTTCTTGTGAGGACGGTCTACAGCCAGTAGACTGAGATTGACCTTAATAGCAGCTGACGAAGGCGTCTCACCTCCGGCTGGGTTCTGCTCTGGAGGTTCTGATCATATCACACAATGCTCAAAGGGGAAATTAATTTTTCTGTCTGCACTCTGGACTTTGGTTCATGTTGGGTTATGTTTTATCTTGAGGTGAGATTGATTTGTTTTCTCCCTCTGGATATTAAAATGACTAAGAAATAAATAAAGAAATACAACTTGTGACTGCCTCCTTGTACGTTTAATGAAAGACGCGCTGCGTGTGCTGAATTGTCAGCGTGGCATTAATGAAACAACCCATTATAGTTCTGGTTGCTTATGTCTGTGCTGTATACCCTTTAGAGCAAATCTGAAACACTTGGACCAAACACTTCTGGCAGGACCATACATCCTCCTGCCACCAGTGAATCCTGACATGCTGCGTGATACATGGTAAGCAACGGCAAAGCTAATGCTGAGGGTTTGCATTTTTCAGTGACGCCGCCATGTGTGGCAGAATGCAAAAGGTTACAGATCTCACTGCTGAGACTTGGAGGATTTATATTTATCCCCTGTGAGGCGAATCTATCTAATATGACAGTTTAATCCTCTTAGAGACATATTAACTGTGATCAAAGAAAGGACTTCTCCATTCAAAGTTTCTCTGCTGCCTGAACGTTCAGCAGAACCACAACAGCTGATTGTTTTAACGTAATTTAGAAATGATTTAGTTAAAATAGACACTCCTGAAACGCCGTTTGTCATGTGACTCAGTGGGAATCTACTGAAATTTAGTGACTCACAAAGCAAACACAGTCATGACTCGATAATCGACCCTTAACAATCCTAAACCTGCTATCTGACAGGTTTTTAGGAAAAACCAACAGAACCCATAAAAACAGCCTTAACATAGCGACAGCCTTGGATTGTGACTCCAACATGACATTTAATGTCACCAATCAGGATGACGGCGTATTATCTGACTGAACAATCCCACAGATTGGCTACGTTCACACTGCAGGACTTGATGCTCAATGAGGATTTCTTTGTGACTTCCTTCACGTTTCCACTTCAATGCGACTTGTATGTGATCTGCTGTGTGAACTTCATACGAGCCAAAAGTGTCCCGCATGCGCAGAAGAGGACATGACGACGTCACACGCAGCGAGCGTGCTCAGTGTTTATGGAAGTAAACATGGATGGTAACGGTGGAGCGTATCTGCCACTCCCCCGCCGCCACCGATGGAGGAAACAGAAGTGTGAGCGCTAACTAAACTAGCATCAGCAGCCAAGTACTGCCTGTGTGTTCTGGACACTTCCACCCCGTCAGAGCGCTGCCCCGGGGTGGAAGTGGTCGGAACGTGCACAAGCGCTCTGGTCAGTTAGGCTGAAATCCAGCGATGCGTCGTGTTCTAACAATACACTAGTTATTATAACAATAAATATTAACAACTAATGAGCCTTCCAGCATCAAGCCCTCCTTGTATCTGGACCTCCGTCTTGACAATCCGACAGCCTTGCTATCCGACATAAAAGAAGGTTTTACATTTAGTGTCGGATTATCAAGTCATGACTGTACGTACACTCTATTAATCTTTATGGTGCTAAAACCATATTAAAGCCTAATTTTTCCCTTTTAGCAACATCCACTGATGGAGCCATCACACACGCTGTTCAGACTCTTCGGCTGGGTCGTCTGTGGTATTAGACGGCTGATTCTAAAGACTTTTGATTGTGCCACTCACTTGGGAGGAAAGTCTGCGGCTCCACAAGCCGATTGTGTCGGAGAGACAGTGGGATGGATATTTAGGGATTTTAATTGGGACTACGCAACACGGCAGGGGGGATGAGACGTTAATGATTCGGTCTGATATCCTCCACTGAAGTCTAATCTTTAAAAAGATCCCTCAGATGTTCGGTACACAATCCAGGAATGAAGTTAAGCAAAACAACTTCTTTTTTTCCACAATGGAAACAAACAGCAGCAGAAGTCTGGATCCAGAGAGACGAACACATGTAACACCGAAACACGCATGTAAAGAATAGCTGGAAACAGAAGAGGAAATATAAACCTAACGTTTCTCTTTCTCTGTTTCAAACACTGCACAGGCCTTTGTTGTGATTAGATAAGTAATTAAATTCATCACATTAGTGCCTGCATCGCTATCTTTCCAGGGTTTTATCTGTAAGAAGGATTAAAGACGAGTTTGTAGATAAAAAAAAGGAAAAGGTGCCGAGTGCGCCAGGCTTCTTACAAGCTCTTAATTCAGTGCCGGTAAATATTCTGGGGTCACTGGATGTCAGTGTCTGACAGTAAATTTTACATTCTGCCCTTTGGCTCGAGCTGACCACCAGGGAAGAGATACTGAGATGTAGACAAGCAGTTTTTTTTTCTTCCCCTCCCTCCTGGCCAGACTTACCTCTTTGTCTTCCAGAAGAAATGTGTTTAATCTGCTCACTGTCTTTGCTTCACTTATTTTATCCCCCTGACTGACGACGGCCCGAAGCGAGAAGGGCAGCTACATGTGATAGCTGCATACCAAAGAAGAAGCGAGTGTAAAAGGCGTCTGGAGGCCGGCCGCGAAGCTGCTGCTTTGATTTCACGGGTTGTGTCGTCCTACGTTCTTCCTCGTGGGTGGTTGGAAACGTCTCTCGTCTGTTTCTGCGGGAAACACTCGCATTCAATCGATGTTTCATTTATGTTTAAAGATGAAAGCGCGCCGGACAAAAAAAAAACAAACAAACTGCGTTCTGTTTGCTCGTACGACTCCTGACCGGCGATGTATGAGAACGTGCACCAGTGTGGGCTGGTGCAGGGCGTTTGCAGGAATACTATCACTTGGTATTCTCAGTGCTGGAGTAGCTGAGCTTTATTTGACCTTTTGCCTTATAGCAGTCGCTGCTGAACAATTCCAATTTGATCAATAGAACCGCCGAAGGAAATACGGTGCGACAGAAAACCGAACAAAAGCAAATAAAACAAAGAGAAAGCAAAGGAAAAGGAGGGACAGGAAACCCAAAGACGGACGGTAAAGACAAGAAGAAGCAGTAAACAGAGTTTATGAAATATCATCTCCAAGATGCACACAAGCCTGAGGACTCCAGATTAACATGTCACACACACACACTATATACTACGCTGCAGATTTGCTCTTCTTAATCTAACTTCAACAGGCTGTCTGGCTCATTACTGGATGCAAACAGAACAGGTTAGTGCCTCATTTGCAAGAATGACTGTCGTGCACATGCTAGCGTGCATAATCAGCAGACGGACTCAGCAGAACGGCGTACTGCTTGCCGAGGACTTTCATCCGAAGCAGTTGTGCCGGTCGCATTTGATGGAATGCACATTTAAACGGAGACACTTACTGTATGTGCATATGGGAAAACATTTGGGGATTACTGTGGCTGAATTTCAGCTTCCTGCGTATTACTGTCTGCACTCAGGGGAGGCCATGAAGGGCTGGTCGCTCTGCTCGCTCCACCGTCAAGAACGCTTCTTACTCTCCAGTCTCTCTTTTCTTTCTTTTTTTACTCCAGCATCTTCTCTAATTAGATGTAATAGCAGACGTATGGTCTGAAATTAGCATCCAAGTACAGGAAAGACATCTTTAGAGAGTCTAGACAAAAATAGACGAACGTTGTCCGGTGAAGTTTTGAATGGATCGCCTTTCATCTCATTGTGTAAGTGTAACAGGTGTGTTTAAATGTTTGTCTATTTCACCAAATATCCATCCTTTTGATCTTGTGTACATTTTGTTTTTATTTTGTTTGTGTGTGTACGCAATTCAGTGTATTTTTGTAATTTATTTTGAAAAGACTTCTATTTTCTTAAATGACCCTTTTTTTTTTCCCTCACGGACGTCACTGCCGGTTGTGCGGCTCAACTGGGCGACACGGACGAGAGACTGACGTTTTTTTGCAGGACGTTAGCACGCTAGCTGCTGTTTTATGTTGTGTTTTTTGAATACAGCTGCAGACTGGACATTTTAAATTTTTTTTCTTAAGGAGGTTGGCTCGGCACCGCTGAGGACATTGTTGATGTGGCAATAAACTCCATGACCACTGGTTCGTCCGAACTCGTTTCCTTTTTTTTCACACACACAACGCGGAGGTTACCGGTAGCAGAGCATCGCAGGGACAGGCGGGCTGCATAAGAAGCTTCTGTAGTGACTAATATCGGATGTTGCCCACTCCTGTTTTACTTCCCTGTAAGTCTGCCGTAAATTAAACACCGACGTACAAACAAAGGCCGTAAACCTCGACTCTAATCTCACCTCAGAGGCCGCTGAACCGCCAACGAACCACCAGAGGTCCAGAAGGGAGACGGCGTTCATGAATTTTTCATGTTCTTCCCTAATGTGAGACACTGGTGGGAAGACTAAAGAAAAAAACAGAAGAAGCTGTGATTAATTCTTCAGCGTCGCAGGCTTCCCGACGTAATGTGAACCGTCCATCTGAAGCCGTGAAGTTGTAAAAAATCAAAAGCCTTTTCAAATCTCAGCATCGAGTTGTGAAGCAGTGACACTTGCAGAAAGGGACTGTGACAATGAATTCTGCAGCTGTCCACCCACCGGGTTCTTCTTCTCACAAGCGAATGCACAACAGAACATAATGCATAGACACTCGTGCACCTACAGTCGCATTTGTTGCTTATTTTTCGTCATTAAGGAGCATCTGTGGGAGCTTGTAACAGGTTATCAGCAGGGTTTGCTAAACTTTTACCTAAATAATGTGTCACTCTGAGATTATTTTGACTTTTCGATGCCCTGGAGTAAACCTTCTTCTCCTCCAATGAATTCCTGTTTGAGCTTCTCACCAACGTTTTGCAGGAACATTAAAAAGCTCATTACGGCGTCATGTTTTACTGTCATCCATTTCTTTTGTCAACACCGATGGAGTGTTGAGTAAAAAAAAAAAACTGAGCAACGTTAAAAATTTCCTCCGGAGACGCGACTCACGTGATCCGAGCCGCTTTATTGGAACCATCGATCAAGTCCCGCTAATCGGTTTTAATGCAGCCTCACGACGAGGAACATCAACATGCAGAAACATGACGTGGAACATGATGAAAGATCCAATTCCGCCAGCCAGTAATTTATGAATCTTAATCCTGATCGAGCCACTTTGGGCCGTCTAAGTGGCGAAGAGGAAAAACACTTTGCCGAGCGAGTCCCTGCCTGTGGAGCTGCCAAAATGAAAGGCCATCACCAACCCACATGGGGCTAACACGGATACGTCGGCCGGATCCTCGTGTGTTTTATAAATTCATGAGCGCGCAGCGTGTTTTCCATTGAGTTACAGTAATGACTAGAATATTTATCCGACCAGGCCCAGACGTCTTATATCCAGATAGAGTCGGACACCCGCGGCTCAGAGCAACTGTCTAGAAAGGGTCATTATCTATTATTCATACTGGAAGTGTTGAGAAGGAAACGCACATTGTTAGAGATGGTTTGTTTGGGTTTATAGCAAATTGTATTCTCACAATATGCTAATTTATTGCGGTAATGTAAATATTTTCTTTTGCTTTATTGTGCTTTTTTTCCATCCTGGTTTTATTTTATCTGACTGATTTTAATTTTCTTATATTTTACTGCTTTTGCTCTTTTTCATGTACTTTTGTTTTCTGAGCAACGTCTGAAAAAATAATTTCCTTCGAGGTGAATAGTTTTTATCTTTTCTAATCTTATCTTGTGCATCGATGTCCTATATTATGCCAGAGTAATTATTTTTGACATTATCATAATTAATCAGACGGTGACGAGCTGTGATAGGAGGAAGTTCGTTCAACAAACGTGAGGAAAAGCATGAAGGACGGGGAAGAGGGGGAGGTTTTGGATAAACTTTGAGAAATGAAAATAAAAAAATATGTTTAAAAAATTGTGAAAATCTGGCATTTAGAGTGAAAATAACAGGAAATGTCTTAGAAAATATATTTAAAACTTTGACTCGGGGTCAAACATTGTAAAAAAAAAGAATTATTATTTGTACAAATATTTTTGATGTGGACATGATGTACATTTTTGGCCTTTTCTTTTAAATCTTATTTTATTTACAGTCAACATATAAAGCAAAACATTCTATGATTTCATCAGATATCAGCTGTAAATAAATAACACATGGAAAAACTGTAAAATAACTGTTAAAATGTTGTTTTTTATTGTATTTTCACAAATTTAAATCCAATTAAAAAAGAAAATCTGAATTATTTGAAAAAAATTCTGTGAAACTATTTAAATTGTTTAATTACAGCTAAAAGTAATGCAATATTATTATTATTATTATTATTATTATTTTACAGTATGCGTCTGTTGTTTTAACTTCTTTGTGAGTGAAGAGTCATTTTAAACTGTTAACATCACAACACTGAAACTGATGATTTTCAGGTAATGACGATGATTCGTCACTGAAATCACAAGAGAAAACAATCACGGATCACTGAATCACTTCTTCCCAACAGATATGTTCTGCAGAGGAAACACGACAAATGAAATCCTTTGTGACAAAATGAAGACTCTTCAGCTCAGCGTCCTGACGTCACGGTGGAGCTATCGACGTATTTATAGGTTAAAAATAATAATAAATGACATAAGTTCAAATGAATCAATACCCGTTTCTGTACTCGACTAATTTAATCTGCATGTTCAGCTCTGACTCGTGTTCCAGCGTCGACACCGGCCCTCTTCCAGCTCTTTAACATTCTGCTGGGTTCTTGCTTCCCTCGTGGAGCTTCCTCGTTGGTATTAGAGACCATGTTCGTCAGTTTGTTTACACCTGTCCGGCCTGACCTGTTAAGTTGCATCTGGGGTAAGTAGCATCCTCGGTCTTTGTGCCGAAATCACTTTAGCGTTTGATGAATGGGCCTATCTGCTCTCGCGCTATCTTTCCTGTTTGGAAACTCAAACCTATATGTTGTGAATGTGTAATCTGTTACTTCCAACCATGTGGCTTCATAGCTGAGCGGAGCGGCGTCGATTCGGCTCGGTTCAGATCTCGCTTTTTACTGAAATGAAAGATGTATTACGACAGTATTATCCCCCCGTACATGCTCAGTAGAAAATCTAATAGTTTCTTTGGCTCCCGTACAAATAGAAAAAAGAACTTCTGTCATTCCACACCAGGAAAGAGGCCATTCAACCTTTACGTGCCAGCAGGGGCCTCGCTTTAAAATGATGGTGAAAAATAACAAGGCTGACACGTCCCAGTTTGACTTTCTTCAGCTGCACCATTACCTGAATCCCCGCTGCTCCTAAATGAAGGTCATTACTGCCTCCGTTTCCTCACAAATTAGCGAGCAAAAGGTGAAAGAAACCAGATCCGCTGCTGTTAGCGCGCGGTTTCGGGCGACGGCTGTAATCTCTGTCGGGTGAGAGTGGGAACACTTTTTTTTTATTCCCTCCAGAGCTCAGGTGAAAAAAAAAAAGGGGGTGGCAGCTACTTCCATCCCAGTCCATTTCTCCCGACAAGAAAAAGAGAGTTCTCACCGGGAGGAGCTGATGAAATTAGTAATTTAGCTGGATATAGGCCATTTTCATTGGACCTTTAACTCGCATGGTTATTACTTTCAATAAGCCTGCTCATCTGCTAAGCTCCGACCGAAAATCCTCGCCTTCCGTCCTCTCCGTTTTAGACTTATTCATGAGGGGTTGGACGGCATTGTTATGAAACGGAACCATTTCATATTACTGCGTTCCATTACTGTGTCTACATTCTATTACGACTCCCACCTGTCCTGCCCAGAAAGTCATTTATTTTTGACGGAGCAGAGAGAATGGAGGCCTGCAGTCTTAGAGAAATAAAATGAGCACCAGACTGTGGATCTGCCGTTCCCCCTTCAACTCCAACCGGCTGCTTTTCTTTCTTTTCTTTCTTTCTTAACGTTTTACGTCTTCTATGCAGAGGGACAGCTTGCTAATTTCGTCAATGAATCTCGTTTTTTATGGCATCTGGTCTCGAATTGATAGTTTCACCTTAGAACTGGTGTATATTAATAAATTATATTTCAATTAGAGCAGCGTTAAGTCCTTTGACGACTAAAAGGTGAGATAAGCTGCTGCGTTACTGGACTTAATTAGAAAGGCCGAGGTTCTATTTTCTGACTTAAATTAAATGTAATTAGCAAACTGCTTTGATGGAAGCGCCGTCTCCATACGTGAAGGAATTAAAGAAATGTTTCAAACACACACACATGTACGTCACTTCAGTTTTTCTCATCGTTTATTCTACACAAAGGTTCCATATTATATTCCTATTTTAGTTCAGATTCACATCGTCCCAGAATATGTTCCCCAAGTTTAAACTCAAAATCCTGCCCGTGTCGTTCCTTCATGTCTATGATACGTCTGGTTTCAGCCAAACAAGCTGTTTCGGTGTCTGTAGCTTTAAATTCAACCGAGCTGCAGCTTTCAGGAAGTGGACGGCAGCTACACATCCTAATATAGTTACTCTGTTTGGTGAGAGGAGCCCAGTGGAGGAGAACCAGGAGGCAGCCAGAGGTGATGATCATCCTGTTTGGACAACAAGCTGCAAGAAATATGTTGTGATCTCAAATCACATCAGGTTTATTGTCATGTTGCTGAACATACACAGGAGATGAGAGAGTCTTCAGGATTATTCAACCAGCAGGTTTTGCAGAATGCACGTCTGGGATCAGACACTAAACGTTCACTGTCTCCTGAAGGGGGCGCTGCGTCCATGCACGCCACCATCACGTTGAACATGGTGAACCTCTTCAGGTCCTGGTAGGTCTTCAGATGCAGATGCTGCCCAGAGCTGTCTGTCTGTCTGTCTGTCTGTCTGCATCCCC